TAATTAATTTCGTAATTTAATGATTAATAAGGCTCATTCTTCATTATCGCGATTTTTATCAAGTTGCATTAATAATGTTTTAATAATTACATAATATGTATGTAATTTTGTAAAGTTAATAACTGATATATTAAAAATTAAAAAAAAAAATCAATAAATAATATGATATATATAATTCTACATACAAAATTTTAATAAAGTATTGCAATTGCAAATTTTAATAATAATTCTTGCAATTTATCTATACAAATATGGTGCAAAATAAAAGTGACAGTGAACATAGTGAATATGAAGAATTGTATAAAGAAAGTACAACTACTAATCAGTCTAAAAGTCACCCTAAAAGTTTCATCTGGGACTACTTTGACAAAAATAATAATGGTATGACTGTAATCTATAAAGTTATATTGAATAATAGAAAGAAATACGGTATCTTATATAATGACAGCTCAACAACTTCAAATTTGATTAACCATCTCGCTTGTTAGCATAGAATATTCAAAAATAATTCTTGCCGATTTATTAAAAATCAATTTAATAAAACTGAGAATGAGTATGAATTGATACAGCAGAATTTAATTTCATTTATCATCGATGACTCACAGCCATTTAATATAGTAGAATGTAAAAGTTTTTGAAAATTACTGCATTCGCTTGATGAAAATTTTTCAATTCTCTGTAATAAAACTATAAAAACTTCCATTAGCAAATTATTTTCTTAAAATAAAGAACAATTAACAAGCTTAATAAAAAAAGAGTGTGTTGCCGTATCTATTACAATAGATTTTGGACAAGTCGTTGTAACCAGGGATATATTAGAATCACATGTGCTTGGATTTCTGATTCTTGGGAATTCAAAGAAGTACTACTTGTTTTACAACGTATTCTATATCTCCATATGGGTGAAGTTATTGCTAAACTGTTGGATGATGTATTGGTTGAATAGGGTTTAATTAACAAATAATAGCGATAACTACTAACAATGGGTCAAATGTAAAAAAGACCGCCCAACTATTAGAACTTGATAGAATCCCTTGCGTAGTTTATGTACTTCAATTGTCTGTTAGGAAAGGGTTAAATGTGATTAGGCATTTGGTTTTATGTATAAAATGATTAATTGATTTTTTAATAATTCATCTAAGCAAACTGAATACCTTCTTATCACACAAAGAGATCTTGGGTTTAAAAACCGTTTATCAACTATTGGAGATATTTTCACATGATAGAATTCGTCATTTTACACATGGAAAAGACTTTTTTATTTAAAAAAGGCGATAGTATACCTTTCATCACAGCTTCAATCAGATGAAAGTGTGCCTATATGAAAGGATAGTGAATGATTAGCACGTATTATGCTTAGCAATGATGAATAAATTTTTTTAGACAAATTGAATGATATTTTGTGTAGTTTTGAAGAAATAATAACATTACTAAGTAGAAATACTTATGTAACAATTTCTTTAATGTATCTAGCTATTTCAATATTAGTGAAGACTTTAAAAATATTATTACAACACTCTTATATTGAATCAGCTTTAGCGGATATGGGTAAATTAACAATTCTTGATTTTGTGAAAAAAATCATTGATGATACGAAAGACGTTATTAAGATTAAAGAAGTTGATACTTCATTAGGAATTATATACAAAACAATTAACATCTCAGCTCTAATGATTACAATTGAAATGCTTGAGAAAGTTAAAAAAGTATTGTATGATAGTATGTATCATTATTGGAATTCTGTTACGGATATCGGCATGTTGGTATGTTTACTTGATCCATGTTTTAAAAAGCTATATTTTGCCAACACAAACGTGGTTATACAAACTAAAGAACACTTAAAAAGTTTGTATGAGTTGGAATATGAAATTCACCCAACTCCTAAATGTCCAACGTCTTTGTCAAATATTCAGCATAATGATCATGATGATTTTGAAGCTGGTAGAATTCTGAAAAAATAAAAATCAATTTTATTAGATTTATATACTGATAACAATGATAAAATTAGTGAAATTGATGATTATTTAGCTTTAGAAGAGGAGGGAGACAGATGGATCCTTTTCAATAGTGGAGCCTTAAAAAAGAACAGTTTCCTATATTATCAAAAATTGCACGACAGTATTTGTACGTATTAGCAACTTCA